CCCCCCCCTTCGCCTTCTTCTCCTCTTCCATCTTTCCCCCGATTCTTGCCCAACCAGGGGAAGCCTTTATTTTCATACACCTCCTGCTAATATATTTATCGACCCCTCACCTCCTTTTATATATCAGATCAATTATTTAACTACGCCACCTCTCTTCTTGCCCTCCTTCTTCCCGTCAAATCAAATCAAAATCACAAAACAACAAAAAAACTCAGGCACGTCGACATTCACACTCCTCACTCCATCGTCGCCATCTTGAGCCTCCCTTGCCCATTCTATCTTTTATATTAGGTTGGGGAATAAGTTCGTGGCGTTTTGACATTTTCTTTTTTTTACAGCGACATTTTGCAATTTGCAAGAAGTTATACTATTCATTCGATAGAGCTCTTTCTGCTCTACAAAACTGTGTTAATCGTTTTTTTCAGTAGATTCATTCGTCATTGTTATTGAGGCTTAGAAATGGAATATCAAGAAGGTAAAAAGCAGCATTTTCGACACCTGCTCTTCTTCGCTTTCCATCGCGGCCAAAAAGTTGTGAAAAGTTATGAATAGTTGCTGAAACAGGCCGGGATATTTGCAATGTATACGCAGAAGATGTCATAGGTGAGTCGACAGCACGGAAATGGTTTGCAAAATTCAACCTAAGGTTGGGCAATAAGTTCGTAGCGTTCACTTCGTGAGGCACCCAGGCTCCCAATTTTTCGACAAATCCCATTAAATGGAGATGATTGAGAATAGTTTTGTGGTCACAGTTCATTTTTTCGACTAATTCACAACTAATTTGAGGACCATCCTGCTTCACACGTGCTCGGAGACGCTCTTCGTCGAACTCAGAAGGTCTTCCGCTGCGGGGCGGGTTTTCGACGTCAAAATCACCATTTTTGAATTTTGCAAACCATTTCCGTGCTGTGGACTCACCTATGACACCTTCTCCGTATACATTGCAAATATCCCGGGCTGTTTCAGCAGCTTTTTTGGCCGCGATGGAAAGCGAAGAAGAGCAAGTGTCGAAAGTGTTAATTTTTACCTCCTGGATATTTCATTTCAGAGCCTCAATAGTAATGACAAATGAATCTGCTGAAAAAAACGATTAACACAGTTTTGTAGAGCAGAAAGAGCTCTATCGAATGAATATTATAACTTCTTGCAAATTGCAAGAGGTCGCTGTAAAAAAAAGAAAATGTCAAAACACCACGAACTTATTCCCCAACCTATGTTCTCTTCAGTTGAAGAGGACGTCTGGGAGTCAATCGCTACTACTTTATTTTATTTGTTCTCTTCATAGGAAGAGGGCGTCTGGGAGACAGTACCTCTCTTACTTCACTTTCTTGGTTCTCTTGTATGTATGTATTTATTTTCTCTCACGAGATGGCGCATGAGAGGGACTCCTCTCAATTTGCACTTAAGGTTTAAGGTTTAAGGTTTAAGGTTTTTTATTTACTTCTAAAGAAGATGGCGGCTTTAGCGAATGTATGTATGTATTTTATTTACTTCCACCAGAAGAGGGCGTTTGGTCTCAACTGAGACTCAATTTGCCCGTACAAATACTTTACATCAAGTTAACCGCGGCGTGCAGCGCCCTCACACTCACTTCCCTCGCACTCATCCGACTCACATGCCATCTATACTTAACAATTCTAATTTTGCCTATATCTATATTGCCGCTCGTATTGCTTATTATATTTTTATTCCACATTTTTTTAGCCACTTTGCTTATTCTTATTATTATTTAAGTATAAATGCGCCCCATACTCTATCACAGATCTGATTAAAGCTTTGAACACCTTTAACATCGTCTCAGGGCCCGTTTCCTTCCTGACCCCGTCTATACATTTCAATATATTCATTCTCTTCCTAGTCTTTATCGCCACATACTCTGTGTGTTTCCTAAAACTTAAACTCCTGTCTATCCACATGCCAAGAAATTTGGCTGCTTCTACCTCCTCAGTCCTCTCATCCCCTATACGTATTTCCATTCTTCCAATCCATCCTCCTCTCTTCATATGTGGGAACGTAACCACCTGGGTTTTGTCAGCCGCTATTCTCAGTCCCAGGCTCCCCAGGTTCCTGTTGAGTCCCATCAAAGCCTCCTCCAGTATCCTTCTTCCCTCTCTCTTGTCCTTAAAAGCGACGAAAATAACTATATCGTCTGCATATTGTAAAATACGTACCCCGAACTCTCTGAGTCCATTGGCCGCTCCCCTCGTATAAAGATTATACAGAAGAGGGCTCAGGACGGATCCCTGGGGCAAACCCTTCAGAAGTTTCATCTGTATACATTCTCCGCCCATGCTAGCAACTTCAACCATTCTTCCTTTTAGCCACGCCTTCAAGTAATTCCTAACCCTTTCTGGGCAGCTCATTCCTTCCAGGATCTCCTCCAGCTTATCATGCCTCACGTTATCGTATGCAGCCTTCACATCCACAAAAGCGGATATGACCGTTTCTCCTTTTTCCCAACTTTCCCTGATCGAGTTGACTAAGATATTAATGTTATCCATCGTCGACCTTTCCCTTGTGAAGCCGGATTGGTTGGGGTCCATATTACCCCCTTCCTCAGCCCATATCCTTAATCTCTTGTTCACAATTTTTTCTAGAAGTTTACCTATGCAGTTCATCAATGATATTGGCCTAAGCGCCTTTTTTTGCGGTTTAGGTATGAACTTCACAATCGCCTTTTTCCATCTTACCGGTATCCTACCGGTATTTTTCCGCTTCTCCATATTTCATTATATAATTTAAGAATCGCCTCTTTCCATATCTTGGTCCACATCTTCATCAAATCGTATCCAATTCCATCCTCTCCCGGTGCCGACTTCTTTCTCGTTCCTGCCAGAGCTCACTCTAATTCTTCCAATTCCAAGTCCCTATTCAACCATTTCCAAGACTGCTCATCTTCCTCAGAAAACTCCGCACTCTCCTCATCCACCCTGTACTCTTCTTCTTCCTCTGTTACGTCACCTTCTACCCTACAACAATACTCTTCTTCTATAAGTCTTCTTACCTCTTCATCCTCCAGTTTTTTAATTTCCCATTTTCCCATACACCTTTGGTCCTCCATCGATATTCCTTTGGCCAGGCTTCTCACCTTCCTCCACATTTCGCCCGTGTTGCTTTTATGCTTGATGCTCCTAACAAATTCATCCCACGCCTCTTTTTTTTTTCTTTACCGCTTTTTCCATATTCAGTTTGGCCTCTTTCAGCCTATTCCAACTCTCCTCTGTTGGTCTTTTCCCCATCCTCATTGTTGCCCTCCTCCTTTCCTCCTTTAACTTTTCACACTCCTCATCCCACCATGGCTGTCTTTTAATTCTCCTCTCCCTCCTCTCACTATCCCTTCGTCCTCCAATTCTTCCCTCATCCCTTCGCACTCTTCCTCTATATTCCTCCCTATAGCTCGCTTCAATTCCCTCACCTAGTAGCTTTATAATTTCTTCATTCTTCCCATCCACACTCAATTCGCCCTCCACTATCCCTATGACCTCGTTTTCACACCTGATGAGCCACTTCAGGAATTCCCCTTTGTCTATCTTCCCCATCTTGTATTTCCTATATCCTCTTCTTTCTCCAACCCTACTCAGTCCCTCTTTCCACTCCACTTCAATTACTTGATGGTCGGAACCCCATGTTTCACCCGTTTCCTTAGCCCTTAATTCCAGGCCTAATTCTGCCGGTGCTACAACCAAATCAATGTTTGATGCCACTTGATCTGGCCTGCCTATTCTTGACAAGGCACTATGGTTAATCACAATAAGATCTTCCTCCTGCAATATCTCTCCCAACAATCCCCC